ACATAGTAATACTGTTTTGTAACTGAATTTCTCACTTACCGAAACATCAGGGATTCTCTGTGTGTGTAGATGTCTACAGCTCCCACGTCAACTTTCAGAGTTGCATAGTAACCTATAACACAAATGCACCAAACTTCATTGAACCCGACTCAGACTGACAAGCATTGAGATTGTTCCCAAATGTTCACTATTGTAAAAATACCTAGCTGTAAAAGCATACTAAAAAACTGTCTTGATATCAAAACACAAAACCCTTAAATTACTCCTGTAGGTCAGATTCCCAGAAGTAGAGTTATTGGGTGGGTGGGTCTGCAGATGTTATGACTTTGATGTCTGCAACCATGTACTCCTCAGAACAACTTAAACTCTCCCTCCTGGGGACTGATGACACTCTTTTAGTTTAGTTTATTTGCAATTTTAAAAATTGAGATGAAATTCACATACCATAAAATTCACTATTTCAAAGCGTGCAATACAATGGTATTTAGTATAGTCACAACATTGTGCAACCATCACCACTGTCTAATTTCAGAACATTTTCATCACCTCCAAAAGAAACCCCACACTCATTAGCACTCACTCCACATTCCCTTTCCTCCCAGCCCTTGGCAACTTCAGATCTACTTTCTATCTCTTGGACGACGCATAAGAATGGAATCATTTTGTGTCTGGCTTTGTTCACTTAGCATTTTTTCAAGGTTCACCCATATTGTAACATGAATACTTCATTCCTTTTTATGGTTAAATAATATTCCATTATATGGATAGACCACATTTTGTTTATCCATTCATCATTCATCATTGATGGACATTGGGTGGTTCCACTTTTTGGCCATCATGAAGAATCCTGCTATGAACATCTTTTTTTTTAGTTCTTGATGGTAAGAAGAATTTGTGGGGGAGGCCAATTTACAGGCGGTTGGAGGTGGGGGTGTCTGGAGGGGAGGGATCAGCTCTTTGTACTTTTAGACAATGCCTACATAAGACAAAAATAGAATCCCTGAGAGCTTTTGTTATTGAGGACAATCTGGATTTGATACCAGAAACAAGGGACTGCTAAGGACTATAATGTTCATATTTATTTTAGAATGTGTTTTTCTAGGCATTTATCAGTTGTTTCTGTTTCAAGTTTTTGTGGTTAGTTTATAAATAGCATCTCTTTTGTTTACAAATGTAACTTATTGGCCTTGGTTACCGTCGAGCCTATTCTCATTTACACACCTCCTGCCTTTGCCCGGTAGGTTTCTCACAACCAATATGCTGCACCTGGTCTCAGTGAAATCTAAGAGCTAAGTTCCTCACTGGAGCCCCAATGGCTTAGGTCAGAATGACCTCACACTCTGGACAGAGTCCAGATAGCACTCCTCTCGTGGGCAATGCCAGGTGCTTCTGTTGTGTCTCTTCCTGCTGTGTTCATGTATATTTTGAAATATTTTATCTAATTTCCCCAATGTGATGGCATCAGAGGTAGAGCCTTTGTGAAGTACTAAGGTTTAGATAAGGTCATGAGGTCACAAGGGTATGGTCCCTGTGATGGGTTGATTGTGCCAGGAAGAGAACTCTCACCAGGAACTGAATCTGCCAGCCCCTGACCGTGGACTTCCCAGCCTCTAGAACTGTGAGGAATAAATGCCTGTCATTTAAGCCCCCAGCCTATGGCATTTTGTTACTGCAGCAAGAGCAGACTAAGACAACTGCACATTCACCCCAGGCAGGCTATTTTAAGGACCAGATTTGATTACAGAAATCATTTGAGTGCATGAAAATGTAAACAAGAATGGCACAAAAGACACTTATTGGAGCCGACTGGGGAGCTCAGAACCCAGAAATGTCTACACTGTTTTTAAGGCTAAAATTTTCACACTCAGACGTCGCTGTGTGAGATTGCTCAGACTGCTTACACGTGTGTCCCTAACGTTAGACTTCAGACCCAAAGAACAACCTCATCATCTTCCCCACACGTAGTTTGCCTAGTTTGTGGCACCGACACTCACCCAGTTGCCCAACCTAGAAACTGGCTCCATCCTTGGCTCCTCCCTCTGTATGCCTATCAGTTATCAAGTCACCACTTCTTCCTCTCAATGTCTAGACTAAGACGACTCGCCTTGTCCTCATTGTCACCATCTCTCCCCAGACCTCCGCCACACCCCAACAGGTCTTCTTACCTGGCTCTGGTTTGAACAATGATGTTGGAAGCCCTGGGCCGGCTTCGGGAGAAATCCTGGAACCTTTTTTGACTGGAGAGGAATCCAAAGGTTTAGGGACTAACCAGCAAAGGATACATGGGTTTTGGTCACTGGGTGGCCATAGATGAAGATGGACCTGCATAATTTGGGGATGGGACAGGGTAGGCACCTGGGGTTTCTAGAAGAGGTAAAGTTTGTGTTATTAGTCTCTGTCATGGATGAGTGCTGATCCTGTTTGGAGCTGTCAGACTTCAAGATGGTGGCTTAGCCTTGCTTAAATGGCATTTATTCCTGTGTGCTGGTTCTTGGGAAGGGTAACTCCTCATACATCAGCCCTTTAGCAGGTCTGCAGGGAGGCTACTGATTGTGCTCTAATAATCATATCCCCTTCTTCAGTAATGAAATTCCTAAATGTTGGCGAGGTAGAGTGTCATCCAGAATAAAGACTGTATTTCCTAAACTCCCTTGCAGCTAGGTGTACCAGCTCTGGGATTCTGACATGATTAAGTTCTAGCTAACTGTGCAAATCTATGCAACTTTTAGGGATTATCCTTAAAGGAAAGGGGCATTATTTCTCTCTCCTTTTTCCTCTTTCCAGCTGGAATATGGATGTGATGGGTGGAACTGGAACAGCCATTTTGGACTATGAGGTGCGAAGTGTATGTGGAGGATAGTGAAGCCACCAGATTGGAGGAACAGGGTGCCGACGACCTGGCAGTTACCTTACCAGCTCTGGATTCTGGGGTTTATCTGAGAGAAAATAAACTTCTATTTTGCTCCAGCCACCTTTACTTTGGTTTTTAGATTCAGAATTCGATACCTGAACGTGGGATGCTACAAATACCATCTAAAATGTAGCACTGGCTTAGTAGAATTGGCAGGCCAGCAGATGGTAGGGACAGAATTGCATTTTTACATAATTGCTTTTTTCAACATTAGATGAAATTGTCATCTGCGGTAACTTGGAGGGTGGACCACATGCTGCTGAGGCCATGACAATAGAGAAAATGGGGGGAGGATGCAAGAAGTATGACTTGCTCCTTGTTGCTTTTCACAGAGTCCTACACAAGTGAGAGGAACTGGGGCTAGAGCCAGCCAGACTCAGCAGAGATGGGAGGGGATCCTGCTTTGATAAGGGCGGCACTGTTTGTAGCCTGAACTCAAAATTAAGGTTCTGAAGCGTAGAAATGCCTGTTCTCCGAACCGCAGCTCTGAGAGCAGTGGCCTTGAAGTGCAGCCTCGGCAGGAGGTAAGGCTGGGGCAGCGAGCCACGCCAAGACTTCCCTGCCAGCGCATGCAGACCAGGTGGATCCAAAGATCAGATTAAGGGCGTTGTCTCAGAGAGGGAGAAAAACCACCCCCAAAACTATGGGGCAAAGAAAGGAGGGGTGCTTTAGAGCAAACACGGTTGACAAAATGCTAGCCATTGAAACCGGTTAATGTTGCATAAGCGCTCATTATCAGAATCTCTCTAATTTGGTATAAATGTGAAATATTGCATAATACAAAATTTAAAAATAAGACTATCTATAAACAAACAAAGGGTGTTTCTCTCCCACCCTAGGTCCCCTTTCAGGTGGCCTTGGAGGAAGAGGCATAAGCAAAGCACCGAAGGCCAGGCTAGACCAGATCTTCAGCTCTGGGTACTTGATGAAATTCTACTGTTTCAAAGAACACACAACCCCGGGACCTTCCAAAACTGCCCCGAGAGTAAGCAGGCTACGGAAACTGTGCTGTCCTCCCGCTGCAGGTCCCACCTCGGATGTGGCCATGGAGGTCAATGGACAAGGAGCTCCTCCCAGAGCCGGAAGGGCCAGCAGGAGGCTCGCCAAGGGACTGGCGGGCCTGCCAGTTGTCTTCACTCTTCCCGTGCAGTGGCCTTTGACAGTTGCTTGGAGTGGTGTTTCCTGTTCTCCCCTCTTATGAAGGAGGTTTCAATGGCTGTTTGCCTGCTGCTACTTCGCTACTGCTTAAGGGTTATGTTGGGAGAAGATAACTTGTCTTGAGTTTATAGGTCACTAGACCACAAGAAGCACCCAGAGCCGAAGGAGACCACAAATTACCCAATGGTGATTTTATCTTTAGCTTCATGCTCTACCTGGATGGAGTTTGGGTTGTCTTACCTTGAGGCAAGGAGTGAGCTCTACGTGAGGCAAGAAAGGTGACCCAAGGGTTGAACTACAGCAGGACCACTACTTGCCCCTCAAACACATTCCCTCCTTATTTCTCAGAACTCCTGAGTTTCCGTTTGTAGGTACATGGCTTCTTGGAGTAAGAACGATCTCTCCCAGACTCCCTCGCAGTAGGTATGACCCTGTGACCAAGTTTTGATCAATGGGAGGTACAACATCCAGATGACGCACCCTGAGGGAAGGGGTCTTGCTTTTCTCCTCCCACCTCCTTCCATCCTGCTGGCTGTAGTGAGAACGTGGCTGCAGCCGCCACCATGGACCTCAGTGTAGAAACTTCACACTGGGGATGGCAGAGCAACAAGTCAGAAGGAACCTGGGACCTGGGGATCATGGAGCCACCCTGAGAACCCTGCATGATAGAGGGTAAAGAACCTTATACTTTGTGTAGGCTATTGTTGGCTTGAGAGCTGAACCTAATTCTGATCCAGAACTTGCCATTCACACAAGGTTAAGACTGACAGGTGTTGCGCATGGTCATGCCCTGACTAGATCAAAGGTGGAGATGGATGGAGAGCATTCTCCTCAAAGATTTAGTATTTACTTGAAAGAAAGCAAACAAAATAAGAAAAACACTTCCAGAAATCAAGACAATTATTAGAAAAAAAATGTCAACACACAATGCTAGTGTTGCATAGCTTGAATGTTTTTATATTAATCAAATTGTTTTCAGTAGAATCACTGGCAGAACAGGTCTGAATGAAAAACATTCCAAATTTACAGAAAAAAAATATTGCTGATCAATTAATATAGTTTTCAATAAAACTACATAACACAAATCCTTTGTTGCTCTAAACAGAATGTGAGTTATCAAGATGGCAGGCAGTCCGGCCATCAGAATCCCACGTATTTGGTTCCTCAGGCTGAGGTCAGAGTTTTTTCCATCTTTACTGAATCTCAGTGTAGGATGGCAAGGATGGCAAGAATCAGAGGTGGCAATCCTTGTCTTTGCATTCAACAGCGTCAAGGTTTGAGGGACAATCGCTTGGGGACCAGTCACAGAAATATGATACAACTCTCTCCAGAAGTTACATGGATTAATTTCAAATCTCTGGAATACAGACTCAGAGCATGGTAAATGTTGAAAGAACCAAAGAATTCATCCAGTCCAGGCCGATCTTCCCCTTTTCCATATGAGGAAACTGAGGCGGAGGGCAGCACGTCTTGCCTTAGTCTAGGTCCAAGACCTGCCTCTTGAGATCTTTCTGCATTGATGCAGTCTCTTTGTTGCCTCTGGAGGATGAAGAGTCCTGCCGCTTGCACTTGAATGATAACCTCCAAGCAACAAAAAATGTCAAGTAGCAACATAGCAGCACATCTGCATTAATCTAAAAGCATATTAGGTATAAATTACCGTGGTAGGAATTAAACACCAGTACAAGTTTGTGATTCATACTTCTCCCACCACCCCATGCCACCTCCATCCAAATGGAGTATTTTTTTTTTTCTTCTGGAAAGTCAAAACACTACGTGCTGGCTCTAATGGGCCACACCAGAAGGAATCTCCCATCTTGATGAAGTCAGCACATAGATGCACTTAAATTAGACCTTCTGGAGGGCATCAGAATGCAGAATGTAAATGTCTTCTTCGTTCACACCAGCCACGTTTCCCACGCAAAATATTGATCCTGATTTCTTCACTTACAACTAAAAAAAGGCTTCTTAAGTATAATTGCTCAAGTGTGTAAGGTGGTAGAGCAGAAATCTTGAGTTACAGAATTTCATCAGTAGTATCTACAGTATTTACTTACAATATTTTGCCCCTTCAGGTAATTCCCTTATCTTGTGCACCCCCAGTATTTTGTGGTTTTTGTTCCTGATAACATCTGCTGCGTCTGAATTAATAGCCTGCACAGGGGCAGAAAAAGGGTAGCTGCAACCTTTGGTAAGCTTCTTAGAAATTTATGTGATAATAATAACATTTCTGCAACCATATTGAACAATTAAAAAACAAAATACAAATCTGTAAACACATTTAGACTTCTCAAGCTTTTTGCAGACAGGATGATGCATTTTTATCAGATGACAATGATTTGCTAAATATCCTGATGGCATTTAAATTTACATCAGCTTTTCTGCCTTCCCCTCCTTTTTTGGTGCTTTGTGGACAGAATTTTTCTGAGTCCAGACTGAATGAAGGTATGATATTCCTTTGTACTTCTGTTCTTTCCAGAAGAAAAGCAACTTTCTCTTACAGAAACCCATACGACCCTACTTCTGTTCCATGGGATTTGGGGCAAATCACTGATAAGTTAACTTTGCCATGTAATTTGTCCACAGCAGTGTCAGATTCCAGTGGATGAAAATTCATCATAAACTTAAAGTCCTCAGAATGATTTCTCCTATTTGTAGATGAGGAAGTAGAGACAGTGCTCCTAAGTGACCAGGCCTGGAGCTAGTTACCGATGAGTGGAACCAGGAACTGATTTCCCACTGCTTCACTCTACTCTCCTGCTTCCTCCTGCTAGCCTGGTACCATGCTGACAAGGATGGGGCTCAGGTGGTCACCTGTTCCGCAGTACAGGGTTACAGCACGGTATAACACCTCCCTCCCACCCCTACCATTTAGCTGTAAAATAATGGTGGGTGAGGAAAAGATGGGAAGTATGCAAGCAAATACACTAGGTCTGGAGATAAAGGTCTTTATTCCTCTTGCAACCAGGAAACTATTCAATTGGTCTAGAGTTTTCTTAGACATCAAAATGGCTTCACTTCTGTGCACTATAATAGAAAAGCATCCTTTTCCTATAAATCCCATTAAGAAACTGCCTTAGCTTCCTCTTCTGAATACATAAAAACCGCGACTTAAACATACCACATTGCATTTCCTTTGTGGTTTATTTTCCTTAAATAATAATTTGCTACAATCCTGTCAAGAGACTTTTTAAAAATTGAACACAGGATTAACAAAGGCAGAATTCTTGAGGACAATCAGAATCATGGCATACTTAGAATAAATTAACATCAACTCGTGTTTATATTCAGATAGTCTGATCCTCTCCTTTGAAATGAAATGGAGACCATTGTAACCGAGGGTGAATGCACACATTTGTTCCATACAGAGACTCATTCTTTACATAAACTCCACTGTCATTTGAATGAAGTTAGGAATCCTGAGAAACACTCAGCCATGGGTGCACACGCATCGACCCACACCCACCGACAGCCATCTAGAGCTGGCTTTCCCATGGTGCAATGGCTGGAAGATCTTTCCTCAGAAGGGCCAAAGATTCTGAATATTTAGATGATATCCCATCTCCCCTCAGGAAAAATGATAATGCTTCAAGTGTCATAGCTTGAAGTAGCAGCAATCCATGTAGTAGATTCAGTAGTTGACGATTCCAGTCTTGGGCGCCGACAGCACAGCGAGAGGCGGACAGAGGCAAGCAGCACCTGCTCCGACCACCAACACCCAGACACCAAGACAACACCCCACATCCTCACTCTCAGAGTCTCGACTGAAAACTCACCCGAACCTACGTGACTAATCCGGTCCAGGCACTGCGTGTGAACCTGAAGAAGGTCCACGAAGGCAGGCAGAAAGCGGGGCGTTTGGGGCACGTTTCTGAGGACCGAGAAAGTCAGAGGCGCAGGAAGGGGAGGCAGGGACAAAGGAAGGGGAGGCAGGAAAGGTACTGCTCATCCGTCAGCCGGAAAGCCCGCCCCCTGCCCTTGGGTACATCCATCTCGGTTTCGTTAGCATCTGGCGGTGACCGCTCCCTGTTCCAGCTCGGCCTGGAGGCACAGAAAGCTCGGCTCTCAGAGTCCTGCACACATATACACACAGAGCAGCCACGTGCCTCCAAATCGCCTCACCGTCTTGTTTCTGGGAGGTCACAGCGCTGCTGGCGTCCCCTCTCGAATGCCCAAGGATGGCTGACAGGATCACGGTGATGTCTGGGGAGGAAGGCAGTGGGACAGGCCCCAAACGGAGACCCCCTTTTGTGCATTTCTCTCCGGAGGAACCACGGGCCTAAATGATGCTACCGCCGCATGCGTATCTACACAGTTCCTATGTACACGATTCCTTTTCATAGAAATTTAAAGTGCTTGGGTTCAACGCGCCCTCTCCTCTCCCACACCACGGCCTACAGATTCCTCTTGCTGCTTCCAAAGAGAAGGTCTGTCCTTATGGAGGATGCCCTTGGAAAGAGGAACGAGCGTTTCACAGTTGCCTTAGCTGGGATCCAGCATTGGGACCAAGCCTTCTTCATAAACACGAAGAATGGCTTCACACACAAACTTGTACTGGCTCTGGAAAAGAGAAGACAGCCGTCAAGCCTGCCAGCAGCCCCACAAACAGTCCCTCACACCCACACAGAGTAATGTGATAAATACCCTCTGAGCTCCAGCGCTGGCCAGGCCTGCCCTGTGCTACATGCCAGGGGAAGGGTGGAGAAGACACACCTGTGACCCCATTATTGCTGCAAGATGAAGGGCGGGGACTGTTCCCAGAGCGAAACGGGCAAAGTGTCAGGGAACTACGGCAGAGGCAGAGGGAGGAACTGGCCGTCTGGGGGAGTCAGGGAGGAGTGACGGTTGTTGCAGGGTGGCCACTCCAGTGCAGGCACCAGTGTGGGGGTTCCGAGGAGAACGGCCCATTCTGAGAACTGCAGTCAGAGCTCAGGGTCCTGGCCCCGGACACCTGGGCATGGGAGGAGGGACCACACAGAGGGCCAGGACCAGGTCATGGCGGAGGGAGGATCTGGATTTTGTTTTAAAAGAAGAGCCACTGAAAGCTGCTCTGAAGAAGATGGTTCTATTAGCAAACACCTAAGAAAGGTGCATTTGAGTGATGTACAGGCTGAAAGGAAGCACTGAGACTGAGCTTCCCTAGTTGGGAAAAGCTACCCAGATGATGCACTTTCACGATTTTAAGCCAGCAATGAGGTCTCCACACCACAGAAAGGGTCCCAAACAGCCTTAATAACCTGATTTTTCTCTCTCTCTTAACCAGACTGTGGGTACAAACGAATATGAAACTAGGAGCGCTCACAATGATTAGAGCAACCTTGTAAACGTTGCCCAGGAGACTGAGAGAGGATACAGAGTGGTACAACATGGCGTTCCCCTCCTTCCTTTGTTAGCTCTCCCGGGGGGTTTGCCTTGGAGGCCTCTCCGCCAGAAAGCCTTCCCGGACTTTCTAAAGTGTCGGCTTTTGATCCTCTTCCACCGAATGCTTAGATTTCCCGTGGCCTCCCCCACTGCCGCTGAGACCTGTAATTGACCAGTCCAGTTCTCCTACCATACATGTGAGCTTGGGTCTCTCCTTTTGTGCAACGATCCGATGAATGAATGGATATGGAATGGCCCCCCTTTTGCAGATAGGGAAACTGAGGCTGGGAGCGAGGTTAAGGGGTTACTCAGAGGTTGCCCAGTAGGTGGGGGGCCTGAATCATGGTCTTCCCACCCTACCGCCTTTCTTATAGCTCTGGGGAAAACCCCAGGATTTCCTCTCTAGGAGACGTGCAGTGCCAAGTACCCAGGCGTGACAGACATGGGAGAGAGCACACAGGAGGAGGGAGGAGGGCCATGTGGAAGGTTCCCTGAGCCCAAAGGCTCATCTTGGAACAGGTGGGAGGGGGGAAACCCTCAGGTGACCTTGCTTACTTCTCATGGACCAATGATGGGCCAGTGGGTCACCATGCAGAATGCAACCAGGGCTGCTCCCTGGCTGAGTGGTTGGCAGGAAACAAACCATGGAGGCAGCAGAAGTGGAGGCAGCGAAAGGCAGGGGCCAGATGCGGTGTGCCGCGGAGTAGCTCAGCCCGACAAGCTGTGACCATGGGCAAGTGACTCAGTCCCCTCAAGCCTCGGTCACCTGACCTGCCATGCCCTTTGCACAGGCCTGGCCCGGGGCAAGTGCTCAGGGAGCATCGGCCACTGTTACTCTATTTATTATTGGATTTCTACTCACTGATGTCTGCACCATCATGGCGCGCTGGTCTCGCATTTTCCGGACAATATCCAGAGGGTAAACAGGCAGGTTTCTCTCGATGAGGCACATGGCTGTTTCCATGGTGACCAAGACACCGGTTCGACCTATTCCAGCCCTGGGGGTGGGGGGGGGGGTGGGGGGGAGAGGAGCAGAGACTTGGAATTTGCTCAGCCAGCATTTCTGCATAGCCCAGCTCAGCTCCTCCCAGGTGCCACCTTTGCTCAGATGGAGCT